ATTCATGATTGAAATAAGTTTTTATAGAATTTATAGATATAAAATAAACAGTTTATTATTTTTTTAAGAGTTTTTTTTAAAAAAAAAGTAATAGAATATACATTTTTTTTAAAATAAAAATGTCAATTTTTAATGTTTAATATCCCGGATCTACATATTAAAAATCTATCGTTGATCGGCGGACCACGAATTAACCCTTTTTATTGAAAAATTCAATAAATATGAATTTATTATATATATGTTAAAATAATAAGTAACATCAATGACATTTCTAATAAATATAATTATAAACATTTTAAACCATATTAGTAACATTAATAAAATTCAATTAACCATCTATTTAATTTATGCTTTACATTACATAATCTAATAAGCTATCATTACTTAAATTCAATTTAGAGGCATTATCATTTAATATAGAAATGTCATCATTTAATATTCTACTTGTATGATATGCCAATGGATGTGATTTGTGGATTAGTTGTGAAATACCACCATTACCATTACCACCACCATTTCCCCAAAGGCTTTCATCTTTAAATTTAATATCAGCAAATAACAAAAGCTCCATAATAGTCGGTCTCTTGGTTGGATCCATATCCCAACACCTTTGCATCATTTGCACATAATCATCAGGCATTTCAGGTAGTATTGGTGGTCGTAAGCCTGCACATATATTAAACATTAAGTGATGATTATGAGCTCTGTCAGCAAATGGTGGATGGCCTGCAAAAATTTCCCACATTAACATCCCAACACTATAGATATCAGATTCTTTTGTGTTCTTTTTGCCTCTAAATAGTTCTGGTGCAATATATGATATGATTCCATAGATTTTATTTGATGATTTTTCATCAACTGGTCCACATAAACCCAAATCTGTAATACAACTACTGCCGTCTTCGTTGATTAATATATTACCACTGTGCAGATCACAATGAATTAAATCCTTTTCATGTATGTAATGTAATGCATAACACAAATAGGCAAAAATGGTAATTCTGTCTTTTAATGTTAAATCTGAATGATTTTCTTGTAAATAATTTTTTAAATTTCCTCGTGGAAAATAACTAAGAACCATTACATAATTTCCATCTTCTGGGGATTTGGTTATGCCATAACAAGGAGCAACTGAATTTGAATTAATTTTACAATAATTCAATGCCTGTAATTAAATAAACAAGTCAATCAATCAACTAATTAATTAAAAAATAAAAGTGTTGATTTAGTTTATTTTAGTTTGAATATGATCAATCACCTCATCAAAAAAAGATTTTCCTGGATTATTTGAATTATTTAATGATTTTAATACTACATCGTGAGCTCCAAAATAACAAAATTCCTTTTTATTTTCATCATAATCATAAATTCTTCCTCTTGTCCACACAGCGGTATAAATTGAACTGAAACCACCTTCTGTTAACTTTTTTATATTATAAAATTGTTCATAAGGTATCCATTCTATAATGCTACCTGGAAGAGATGAAAGCCGTTGACATTC